ATATATATATATATATATATATTTAAATCTTCCTTTTTTCTTTTCTCCCATCTCCTCCCATTTCACTATATCACTTCCGTTAAGTTAACCGTCTAAATAGGTCAAGGTCTGGTCACTCCTCCTCTCCCAATACAAACTATGCTTGAGAGAGATATGAAATTAAACCCTCCCTATACTCTACCATGTCTCTTTAACTACCCCTTTTACACTCTCTGTTAAATTACAAAAACTTACACTACCCATCAATTTTAATTTCATTTTTCGTTTCATTTCGTTTTGGAAGAACTATCTGATGATCCGGCGTCCTTTAAAAGGGCTTTGGTGCAATAAATTATTATAATGGTAGCTTAAAGTGGTCTGTTTTTCTTTTAAATATTAGCTCTGGATTTACATTGATCTCTCAGGATTTCATCCTCCTTGGGATTACCCATACGGATTACTAGTTCTTCATAACTATATATATATATATATATATATATATATATATATATATATATATATATATATATATATATATATATATATATATAATTGGTATATGATTGGTTTATACTGAATAAATTCCAATAACCAACAATTACTATTCTTAAAAGACTGCTCAATACAGAGTAGAGAGATATAATTATTTATTTAAAAATTATAACATAAATATGTTATAAAATCACGACTTTTAGTGATTTTATAACATATTTATGTTATAATTTTTAAATAAATAATTATTATATATATATATATATATATATATATATATTCCGCCTTCATTAATATTACATATCGTTTTATGTTCTATTTTCTTGCAATATATTATCCTCGATCCAAATTATGAAAAGATAAATAAGTGTAACCTTTTTATTGCCGTATATATATATATATATATATATATATATATATATATATATATATATATTGTCATCCACAGACAGACTGTTTCGCTGTATCACAGCTCATCAGTATGGCTAGACATCCGATTGCCTCAAGCCGGAATAGAAACTCGACTGATTTGACATCAGTCGGTGATTTTACTCTTGAGCTATCAGCGCCCGGTTGAGAGAAAGGCTAATTTTTTCGTACCTATTCTTCGAATAAACTCGCCAATGACCGAAAGGGCTCAATTCATTGAAGAACTTTGCAGCATTAGCAGTAGTAGTCATTGTTTACAAATTCGCGCTTTCTCCCTCAAGAGTGCTCGACCGGAATTAAATTTTCTAGGTATATATATAAATCCCGAAAAGGGATATATTTGATCGAAGTAGCAAGTGGTTTTGGCTACTGTAACCAAGTAGTACACGGTAACAGTAATTGACTGGTACTCGTCGTAGTCACAGGTAATAGGTGTAGACCAATAGGAAAACCAATGGCGTAGTCCAAATAGGCGTCGTCATAGACTTAAACGCGTACCTACACGTCCGTCTGTATTTATGACGGACACCAGCCAATCATATTCCAGTGAAAGGGAACTTAGGTGTATGCAAATTCCATTATATCATAAACCATCCTTATTCCCTTCGTCTGCGGGTCTTAGACGTGAAATTTAAAACTGGTGGAGTGTAGTTCGTTTGAATCCTTTCCATGGTAATATTGATAGAGCAGCGAGTGGCTTACGACGTTTCGTCTGTGAGGAAAGAGGTTGTAGGGTGGAAAATAATTCTTCACCCACAAGGACGCGTATACGCCTGTAGACTCATCGAGAATGGAAGCTGAAGACTGGGCAGCACCTGCCCATATATGGCAGCAGTGCTTCCTTTTCGCCTTGGCTCTTGTAAAGGTAGAGGATGTCGCGGGAGGTCAGGTACTTACCTGAGCGTTACAAGGAACCGACCTCTTTAGCGATAGAGCGTATGTACGCGTTCAACTTGAGGTCTGCGTTAAGTTTTCATCCAAGTAGGCGCTGAGGCAACATCCATTCACAGCGATTGGTTATAGCTCTGGGTCCGATCGACGATGATGGAGTGTCACTAATTTGGTTTTTTAGGTATTGAATATGACCAGCCAGTTGGAATATATAGAAATGAATAGACTGACATCAATGAATAAGAACAGAATGAAATAACTATTGATAATATACTTAATCTCCATTACCGAAGGAAAGAGAAAGAAGCGCTAATTAAATATTTTTAAAGTTTAATTCCCTGTTATATACACATAAAGAAAAAGACAATTTGGCTGACATAAAAATGTTGGTAAGTTTTTTCTTCTTTTGTCTCTAAATTTTGTTGATCATCTCAGAGTAGAGGGTTTTCCAGGGTGAGTAGGAAGGGTATGTCAGTTATGTGCCATACGTGATACACGCTTAGGCGATCATGTATCTTTCGATACATGACTGACGAGGCAGATTTTTTTTCCCGCGATAGGTTGCCATTTCTTTCTGCGTGTTATAGTGGAACACACCTATTCTATAGTTAATAGACTCTCCCACCTATAATAAGTAGGAGTAGTAAAAGTAACGAGTGAGTCGCGGAGTTGGTCAGTCAGTCGCTCAAGTCTTGAACGACAGATCGGTTGAACTCTCTGCCTTCGGGCGGGGAGGAACCCGAAGGAGGCTACGCCGAAGGGCGGATTCTCTTTCGGGGAGGTAAACCGACCCTGAACCCGTTTATACGGGTTCAATGGGCATATTTTTGGCCGAGCCCACGTTAAAAAGGCCTTGTCTCACATGACGCCCTCGTGGTGGGGGGTGACTGAATATCGTCGCGGAGTTGGTCAGTCAGTCGATGTCAGACGACCGTTAGTCGGATATTAAAGTATCAGCCACCCCAACTAGATTACTGCGTCATTACCTATTATATCAAGTTCCTAACGTCTTGTACGTCGAACCTATTTTAGGACCGACTTAGTACAAATACAATCCTCCACTGTAAAACCACTACACTGCGGTAGACCAGTTGCCATCCAAGGCTACAGAACCCGGTCTGTCCTGCTTTTTACCCATAGGGAGAAGAGGAGGATTCATACCTTTTTCCAGGATATTAGCACGTAAGTGAATGTAATGGATTCGACTGGAATTCGAACTCAGCTCTCCGATTCCGAGCCGTTATCCATTGCTCCACATTCCAATTTTTAGCTTCCCTGTGCCTTTTCTATAAATACTTTCATGGCAATTGTTCCGATAAACTCTTCTCTATGGTACTATTTTATTTAGCTTCTTGTATATAGTTTTTGTTCGTTTTTGTAAATATTCATTGTGGTATAGATTTTTAAATTGTTATTTTATTCCTCTCCCACCACAGACAATGAATTGTGCACACGGGGACTAGTTAGACCTTTCATAGAGACAATGAGGTATTATGGTGAATGTACAGTGTAACCCGGATATAAGAGACCCGGATATAAAAGAAACCCGGATATAAGAGAAACCCTGATATAAGAGAGATTTTCTCTGGTCCCAAATTAGAGCCCATACTTACCTAAACAAAATAGACGAAACCCGGATATAAGAGAAACCCGGATATAAGAGTCTTCTTCTCCGGTCCCGACAACTCTCTTATATCCGGGTTACACTGTACTAACATTTCATCAAAATCTGAAATGGTGCCCCATAGAAAAATTGATTGAGTAGATACGGGCTTAACCATCTATATATCGAGGGGCTTACCCACATATATCGGGGGACTTCGACGTGGTGTAATGGTTAGCAAGCTTGTCTCGCTAGATCACTTACTCACTGAATAATGAGTTCGATTCTCACTTCACATACTTTCGGCCTTAGTAAATTACAATATATATTACTTTAAACGATTTTTTAGTGGATATCCATATTTGAGTAGACGCTTCGTTTATTTATTAAACAGTTTCTGTATTTATTTTTCGTCTACCGGCCTAAATATTTAAGAAGTAAGTACAGTGTAACCCGGATATAAGAGAAACCCGGATATAAGAGAGATTTTCTCTGGTTCCAAATTAGAGCCTGTGTTAATGTATATAAAATAGACCAAACCCGGATATAAGAGAAACCCGGATATAAGAGACTTCTTCTCCGGTCCCGACAACTCTCTTATATCCGGGTTACACTGTAGTAAGAAAGGTAAAAATGCGTTGTTTTGGTGTTAGGAATATTGAGGTATGTTTGGCTAGCTAAGTTTAATATTAAGACAGATGAAGACCGTCCTTTTCCCCATTACCCTTTTTGGCCTTGTACCCCATTTTGTATTTTTTACAAATAGATATCACTCTTCTCTATGATACCTAGACATTATGAACTTATGCGTCGTGCTAGATTGGCGGCAATATTCTACCATTTTAAAATCGAAATAGCTAGACGTAACCATAAGTTCCCTGCTAACAATTTATTTTCTCGCACTTCTCGGTTGTGAAACTTTTTTCGTCTTCTTGTTTTCCAATCAAATTTGATATTCAAAAATTTAAATGCAATGCCAAGCGTTAGCTTCTGTCTTAATTTCTGTTCTTTATTGTTCCTTCTCCGTAATAATGTGTTTTCATATAATCTTTCACACCTAGTAATCCTGGGTGTGTTAGTGACTTTCTTGCCTTGCGTGGGCAGAAAAGATTAAAAAATAAAGGAAAATTTCAAACGGAACCAAATTCTGTTCGTGTGCTTGCGTATACGTCAAACGGCACAGGAACGTGTAAGTCACACACGTACAACGCAAACATACGGCCATAGAATTACATACACATAGGCAAAGCCACGAGCTGACAATGTTTCTTTTATCATATAGATTATTCCAAAATAAAGAATGTATAGCTGCAAGTAATATAAATTTCGTGTTTGGATCAAACCGTTAAGATTTGGGTTTTAAAGAATCAGTGAAGAAGAATTTCTGGAACCAGGTCAGAGAACAATGGAAAATATCAATGATTAAATTCTCAAGACATGGGATCTAAAATCCTTACCCAGAGAACTTAAAGAGAAACCCAATAAATCAATTAAAACAACTTCATCTGATGCAAAAGCGATTTATTCATAAATAGGCTATATTTATATTGATTGATTGATTTATATTTACGGATTACCAAACCTTTGTAGTTCACGGTCACATCACGAACACCGGTTCTCATACAATCAGCAAAGTTGAGCAACGTCAAGCATGGTTAGTACTTTAATGGGTGACCGCTTGGAAATAGCATGTACTGCTTCGATATACAGGTGATGTAATGGATAATCGCTTGGTATTGTTAATCGGAAAGCCGAGTTCTAATTCCCGTTGGGTTCGTTATATTCACTTACGCACAAATACTCTTGGGAAAGGGAGGAATTCACTTCTTCTCCCTCCAGATATGGGTTAATTAGTAAGAGTTGTATAACTAAACCCTTGTTATCTCACCAATAAATCTTACAATCTAAAAATATTTTTCTGGCTTTATAAAACCTGAAATGGGTTGGTAAGCTGTAGAAAACGATTCCATCCACCCTTTGTGGGTCATTTAAAGCTGAAACATATTTTGTGTCGTAAGAATAATTCTATATACATTGGCCACAGCAGAGGTGAACAAAAACTTGGAGAATTGAGTTACTAAGGGAAATAACTGAAACTGAAACTTAGATATCCGGAAGAGGCATGGCACGTGGAACTAGAACAGACTACCCCCCCTGAAGAAGTCCGGATCTTACAACGGCCGAAACGTCGTGGATATGACAACAGTCCGAACAATGTCAATAGCGTAAATAGTTAAAATATCTCATCTCAGATATGCAGACAGACACTGAAGAATAATTCTATTTTTATGAGTGAATATTGCAGAAATTTAAAATGATTTTTCTAGATACAAGTCCTACTATTTGACCTATAACTGGGGGGGGGAATGGCTCCATAACTCTTTCAAGGGTATTTGCATTTAAATGAATATAACGAATCCGACTGCAATTCGAACTCGGCTCTCCAATTTCTCATTACACCACCCGTACATCCTTATTTGAATTGAATGGGAAATGGGGATATGACACCGATGATGATTCTAACTGCCAAAGAGGACAATCACAAACTATGAAACATCTATTTTACCCAAATTTTGAATATCCATGCACGCTTAACGACATTGAAACCATACCATCCTAAACTACATCCGCGTCCTGGGTAAGACGATAAACTACGTCCAACAGCAAGGCCTCTGATCAAGAGGTTTTGAGGAGCGTGGAACCACCTCTTAATTGCTCGTGTTCCCAGATTCGCCCTGACCCGGGGTGGTAGCACCTGTTAGGTTCCCAGCTATGGGCAAATAGTAGACAACCAAACTTGTATAAAAAAAAAATAGGTTTTAATACCAGAAATACTTTGTAAAAATAAAAAATATTACCAGCAAAAATTTTTGAAGGAGAAATTATAATCAGCAATACTTTAAAAGAAAAAGTACCAGCAATACAAACAGCTATACATTCTTTGAAAAAAAAATATTTTCCAGCTATAGATTTCTTCAAAGAAAAATATTCCCAGGAATAGATTTTTGAAGAAAAACAAATTTACCAGCAATAAAAGTTTTTGTCGGCATTAAATAACTCATTGAGGTTGATATGTCGTAAAACAAACCAAACCAAACCAAATTGAAACCGTAACACCCCAGACAAGGCACTGTGTGCAAAACTGAATGGGTGTCGTGTAGCGAATCGAGAAGAAGACTTTCAGAATGCGTATGGGAACAAACTAATGGTCAGAACTCTGATGACCAGAACTGAGTCAGCTTAGTTTGAACTCTAGGTGGTTAACTCTGACAGTGATTAATTGCCTTTGTTTAAGTTTGTTTAAGTTTTGATATTAAAATAAATAGTACAACATAGGTTCACAGGAGTTGGGTCCTTAACGTGAATTGAAACCATTACACTAACAAATTTCTTTTACGTTTATTGCAGTCCCCGCCTTCAATTTTTCAGACATCAACGATACATCAGACTGCACCAAAGACAGCAAATTTTATTTTTATATCTCACTTTATTTTACGAAGAACAGTAATTTTAGCATCGCTTCTAGGAGGGTTAGAAAGATCAAGGGGACGCATATCAACGGGTGCTGGCTTATCTTACTAAAAAGTCCGAGTGCTGCGAGACATGTTGACTTCTAATTCTTACAAGCGTTTGAGAAACATCGCAATTTCTGGTGTCTTATATCAAAAGGTAAATAAAAGGCAACCCCTCCCTGTTAGAAATCCACGCCCATGGGGTTTTAAACCAGACTCACTTAGTTTGAGTAATCAAATTTCTGGTTAATAGTTTGCCATTCTGAGCCAGACTAAACATTTTATAAAATCTGTCTTTATAACGAACATGATAGTCTTCACAGAATCAATAAATATTTTAAAATTAGTTGTATGACAAAGTTTACAGCACATTGACACCGAATACACACTTCATTATTCGGACTGTTGTCCTAATCTTTTTTGTCATATTCACAACGTTTCGGCCGTTATACGCTCCGGCTTCCTTCAGGTGATTGGAATTTCGATTCGAACTCTCTATTTCGCCCGCCGGGGTAGATTGTTCTAGTTCTACCTGCCATGCCTCTTGCGGATATCTCAGTTTCAGTTATTCACTTAACTCTCAAAGTTTGTTTTTCTTTTTGTTTACCTCTGCTGTCATCATATAACTCATAACTCATAGATTACTGCGACCAACGCTTCTGTCCGCTGTGCCAGATGTCAAATGCACATTATAAAATATGCTGGAAATATAATAAGAACGCAAATAAGATCTTATTATATAGGAATAAAGTGTCGATGAGGAAACACAAGCGATCCCATTATTGAATTAAGTAGATCACGTGACCTTAGAGGAAAAGCGTAAATAGATAGAAAGTAGCGTGGCGTCTGAACGATCACCATTTCTCCTCTAATCTCTATTACTATCCGGATCACTCTCCCTATTCTATCCTCTATTACTATTCGGATCCTTATGTCTACTCTATCCTCTATTACTATACGGTCCGCTAATCTCTACTCTATTCACTATACTATTTCTCTATTCGGATCACTATACGGATTACTATTCAAGCGAATATTATCGAGCAAGTACTATTAGTTCAAGTGCTATTCGAAGGCGTCTGACACCAGTATTGTTCAGCAGGGTTACTATAGATGTATCTGCGATTACAAAGTCTCTACTACAAGGAGCATTACGAAAGTGACAACGAGTATTCATTGACATCACATAAGTGGCAACAAGTGTTCACTGACATCACAAAAGGTCTTTTCGTGCAAAATTTTGTAAGCTTAGTCTGTTATAGTATGGGCTCACCAGTTGTGGATAGAGCTCACTAAATTTACTAATTATTGTTGTTAATTATCTCCGCAACTTCTTCTGCGGAGTCTCGAGTCACAGATTCACCACACTAGGTGTTTCTAGGGGTTCCGTGGCGTGTAGGTTTTACGGAGTGGAGTTGTTAACTACACGCCCAACCAGTTTGAAATGCAAAAATAGGTATTTCCTTTTCCGAGACTGGTTGCTGTAATGAACTGTATGCGCCGACAAAATTAGACGAGACTTGAATCTTTCGTCTTTAACTTTACATTTTATTCAATTCCTAACTGCGTCAGTTCTCACCGGCCAGTGTGTTCGTTCCAATACATAAATCTCACATCTTGTCTGAGGTGTGTGTAAGACTGCCAAAACTGGATTCCCAAATCGGCGATAGTAAGTGATCCCAGGTCAGCTCCCTGGTGCTCCTAACTTCTTTCATAATCTGCAATGTCTGTTCTGGCATCATACTACATTGCCAATTAAAGCTAGAAATGTACCCTGCTATTGTTGCGTTTCGTGACGATTCCCTCTAGATTCAATTCTTCAGGTCCCAACGCTGCATCACAGACTGAATGAACAATTTTCTTTAAATGTAATTTATTCGCTTTATTTCATGAGAGTGATTGATAGGAGCTATCTTAGAAGGCTAGGAAGATAGAGGGGCCGGAAGTCGACCTGTTAGCCAACTACCTATCATCACGGAGGGGCCTGTCTCACTAAGAAATTACGGAAGACCGAAACGCCTTGACCATTCTATTCTTGCTGCCATCTGACTGTCTTCGCACATTTTTAGTCTTATAACAAAATTTAAACAAAGGCAACCCACCACCTTCAGAATTCCACACCCATGAGTTTCAGAGCATCAACCATTCATTTAGGGTCGTCAGAGTTCTGACCAGTAGTTTAGTATTTAGAGCCGGTCTACGAATTCTGTTACACTATTAACACCTAGCTGGGGAGATAATAGCTGAATTTGTGATATTTATGAGAAAGCAAAAGCAACGGATGAAATTTGAACTCGATTTTGCCAATACCACTTTCACCCCGATAACCGCTGAGCTACACGCATATTCACTAATTATTATTGATCAACATAAAGTCTATTTGTATGCGTTTATATGATACATACATATTAGCGTATATGCGTTTGGAGTCTTAATGCGCGTGTAGTTTTGCTGTAAGTCTATCTGACTTTCTACAAATATGTTTGCATTTCAAAGGGATTTAAACAGAGATTGTCACCGTGAGTTGAGTGGGTGGTTGGGAACTCCACTTATTCCTTCCATTTTTAACACTGTCCCCGGCTTAAGGCTTTCATTTTCAAATCGCTTGTCATGTCCATCGTCTCTGAGAGAAACCTCCCTATTATCCCGGTCTTTTGCAACTCATCATCCGTCATTGTAAACCTCTTTTCCCATGGCAACTGCCAAGTACCTCTTTCTTCGTTTATCCATCTACCAGCCACTTTTATCTTCGCGATTCTTCTCTATTATTCTTCTTTCATCTCCCCCTCCCTCTCTCACTCTTTCTTTCTCTCCTCACTTTGTTCTTTCTATTCTCTCTTCTTTGTTTCCGCCATTTTTGCTCCTCCATTTTATTCTTTCTTTTGATTTATATTATTCTCCTTTCTTTTTGTTTCTCTACGTTTTCTTTTTCTTCTCTTATTCCTCGCTCATTTTTATATTTCTCTTCTTTCTTCTTTTTCCTTCTTCTGCTAAAATAAATTTAAGATAAAACAAAAAGAAAAAGAGGAGAAAATATATAAAGTAAAGAGAAGCAGCAGCAGAAGAAAGAAGACCATTACGAAATGGTTTTCTTTCTTCTGCTGCTTCTTCTCTTTACTTTATATTTTTCTTTTTCGCTTCAGACGTTCTTTCATTTTTTTTTTCTACGTCTCCTTTCGACTTTTGC